CCGGAATCGGTAGATCGAAGATAGTGTCTCGCACGATTGGCCATCAAATGAGCGTAATGCACGGGAGGAACAAGAGAGATGGCGAGTGTACATCTGCGAATATCGAAGAAATCAAAATTCAAACCAAGGTCAAATCAATCATGCACACGTCTAGTATCGGACAAACCTTGCGGAGAGATAACAGAGCTTGTGGGTTAATGTCTGTATTTCGTCAGCAGTAAACTTGTTCTCATCATAAAGAACACTGTAATGGATTGGGCGCCCAGTACCTTGCAACACATTTTGAGGTTGTAGGTCTATATGAAATAATATACCATTAATAAGAATTCGTATCGCCAGCATGATCATTCGCAAATCGGAATGATACTTGCAAAAGCCAAACTCTTGAGGAACTAGAATGGTACTGTCGACAACAGTTCCTGGAGGACAATTCGCATTTTTATCTCCATCGCGAGGTTCATTCGGCATGAATCTGTTCATCAGTTGTGTACAAAGTGTTGAGAACTCGACATGAAATGAACAAAGATTAAAAATTTAACTCACCTGGTGTGATGCCTTTTTTGAACAATCACAAATGTGAGTTTAGGTTCGAATCCTTTTTTGTAGCAGCGACAAAAGGTTTCCTTTAACGCCTTTACTTCAACACGTAAGACGTGTTCAAATTGTCCTTCGGACACACCGTCTCGATAGAAAAGGATTCGATGGGGAAGAGTGGCATTTCTTTCCCAGAAAGCACGCATCAAATCATCAACCATCTCCCGGAGATTTTCGATCGTTTCGTTTCGTGGTTCCTCGTTTTTACTATAGCGACCGCAGTACATGGTGGCATTTCTATTCACGGAACCGCAAACTGCCGCAATGCTAGGCTTATTTTCTCCTCGGCCTGGATGAAACACGTCCGCACCGAATATCATCGTCTTCAACATAATTAATGAAACGAACACGTTAACTCGGAAATTGGATAAACCAGGAAGAGACATTTAGGTGAATGCAAACCGGAACTTCCGAGACAAAACTTAGTTGACCTTCGGACAAGAAGCAATTCTGTCCTCCTAATTTGACGTTCACCTTCAAGGCAATGTTTGCACATATCTGATCGATGCCACGCCTGGACAATAATTTGGTCAATACTACTTGCGTAGGAACGCCTAATTCGGTATCTCCGATGCGCTTTATTTCTCCATACAGAGATCCAGTATGCTCCAACACACAAAATATTAACTGGGGCGGTAAATCTTTGTTGAATCTTGAAGTGCAACATGCTTGATACAACGACTGAGTTTAATTTTTATGCAATTAGAATCGCGGATAGTAATGCTCGCAGTAATTAAGAATTTTTGATAAATTTAATGGGCCAAACAAATCACCTTGCGGATGTCTCCAACCGGATTGAAGTAACATATTTCGGGCTCGTTAGACACATCCTTTGTAGTATGTAAATTAGTAGAAGGCGAAACATTAACTTAATCAAAAAGCGCAACATCATAATTATACACACCATGCCTTTCTGATTGGCAACCTCACGAAATTTTTGTGTAAAACGTCGGACAACTTGTTTTGGACAATTTCGCTCAGTGGAAAAAACAATTACAGACCAATTTTGGAGATTCTTTCCCTGTGAATATATGACTTGCTAAATGCTAGAGTATAGTGATGATTAAATGACGGTAATATAAACACCATGAATCTCACCAGTACAACGACTTTATTTGCAATATTCCAGCGACCAGCTTCGGGAGTGAATAGATGATTCACGCTTTTGGGGTGATATTCTAAAACCGGTGGTTGGAGGACGCGCCCTTTTAACAGAAAATTCAAGTGCTTTGAATTATATGGTGGTTCGGAAATGATAACGACGATATTAAAGACTACCTTCAATTAACATGTTGCAAGATTCCACGTTCATGTTGATAGACTTCAAAAAAGGATCTCTTTGATATTGAAAAACTTC